GCGCACCTTCCCAGGGCGGCCCCGTGCCACCAGTCTGCTTCCCCCCTCTGACAGCAATTCAGCATAGCACAGAAGTTCTGCATGTGGACCTATGCTAACATATAGCACCACCAATCTGATTTACAACCTCTGGAGTCTCCCTGCACAGTCATTCTGTGCTTCCTAGGGGCAGGATCAGATAAACATGTACCTAGGCTGACATGATTGCTGAGATCCACCAGGGCCCTCCAGAAGTCTCAGTGCTGATGTAATCATTTTGCATCTGGCTACAAGAACATAACCAGATGCTTCTCTAGTCCTGCCTGCTTCCCATGAGACACAGATTTGCCATTCAAAGGCATTTCAGAGGTTGTGAAGTCAGTTTGGGGGCTTTGTGTACTGTGGAAGGAGTAAAGCAGGGGTAGGCAACCTTTCCCCTTTAAGGGCCGAGGGACTTCAGCTCCCAGAAGCCTCAGCCATGTTGGCCAATAGTCCCATGTTGGCCAATAGCTCCTGGGATTCTGGGAGCTGAAGTCCCTCGGCCCTTAAAGGGGAAAGGTTGCCTACCCCTGGACTAAAGGGATACCAATTTCCAAAAACCCCAAAGAAGCGCATACAGTATGCATGCATGTGTCCCTAACAGGATGCCAGACAGAACAAGCAAGTTAGGGAGAAGCAGGGGAACAGTGCAACCATGCCATATTTCCCTTGCAATGAAACTGGTAAAGTACCAAATTCCTGGACACTCATAAATGAGTTGTTGATTGTAAAATTTGCCTTTTTATAAGGTAATGGGAAGCAGGTGTAGTATAGATCAAACCTGGGCTGGATTATGCATACTGAGGTTCTAAACCAGCTGGGGTTGCAGACTGCCAGAAATAGTGCAAATTGAGTTCACTTTTAGGGTTAGGGTTAGGGAATCATGGGAACTGTATTTTATTGTGGCACCTGAGCTCTCTGACAGAGAAGGCTCAATGTCTCAGAAAAAAAACAATACCCATGATTCGATAGCACTAACCCTAACCCTAAAAGTGGACTGAATTGCATAATGTTTCAAAGTCACCTTGAATCCTATCCCAGGAGATATAAGGTGGGTTATAAATTCAAAAATTAATATAATATAACATAATATAAACTTGGAAATTACATGTATGTTTGTGTGTGTGTGTGTTTTAAAATAGAACTTCCTCTAATCTGAAGACCTCCCTCAGCTGCAGATTACTTAGTATGTACAGAAATCTGTCCAAAAGCAATACCAGCATAGAGTGAGCTATAGCTCCTCTCCTGATGCTGAGTTCATCCAAATCATATTGAAATCTCTTTGAGAGTCATTTTAATTTGGTATTAAAGCACTGAACATTTTCCAAGAGTTTGCATGCTCACATAGGGGTCAACTGTAGGAGCAAACTCTTAACACTACCCACAAGACACCACACAAGATCTGTGCCAAAATGAAGCTAAATTTTGTTTTTCTTCTAGCACTATCTGCATGTTATTGTCAAAATATAATTTACTGAGTTATAAAGATGAAAGAAATTAGCTTGGTATGAAGGATGAGAGCACACTACTAATTTTGTTAAAATGACATTGGCACCAATAAAGATAAATTCATAGGTGGAAGCTCAAATAAGTTTTCTAAAAGCAAGCCTGACTACGGGCCTCGGCAGACGACTAATTGGGTCGTCTTCCGGGCCCGGAAGAGGAGGGGCAGCCGCACGTT